CCATTTCCCTAATGGTTTTAGCATCCATTAATGATCCTTAACTGAGTCAGTTATTCCCTTCTTCATGGTTGCAAAGTGGGATTTTCTTCTCCTATTCCTTTATTTATCAGCCACATGCTTTGTAAAGAGCTTCCCTCTGTCCCCTTTTTTATGAATATCTATGGATTTATGGGTTACTTTTTATTCAATGTGTGATAGTTCATCATCGTTATTCTTTTTTTGCTGTTCAAACTTCCCAACCCCTTCATGGCAGCTCCTATGTCCTTTTGTCATGTCTGTATTAATATTTGAGCACTTGATTGCTTTCTGGCATAGAAAGTAAAAATTACTCTGTTCTTGTACTTTCTTTGCCCCAGGCCCAGACCCACATATTTCTCCAATGAGCTAAGGTATTTAGAAACCAAGATCTGGGTACTTGGGCCTTTCTTTAAAAATGTACATAATCCAGAAAGAGTTAAAAGTCCTTAATCATTTGTTTAAGTCCCCCTCTCCCCCTTCTGCTAAGATTATTCCCATAGTGGCACTGGGAATTTAGATGTTGGAAGGAAAGGACCGATGAAAGGAGGTGGCCATCCAAAGTAAAGGTCTTTGGCCTTTGGACCAGAGGTGGCAGAGGAAATGAGATAGTGCCAGAGACCAATTTAGATTACATTGGAATTCTGCCCATGGAGTGACTAGAGAGCCTGAGAAGATACTTTCTGCTTGTTTTCCAGGTACTCTGAAAATTGATTGCCCTTTTTTATATCTGGTAATAAGAAAATGTATTCCCCTAAGCTATACATATGCTTATTCTTAAAGCAATTTAAGAAATATAGTTTCCATACCAGGAGTTCAGTGTGAGATCCAAGGGTACTTCAAAAAGTTCGTGGAAAAATTCGTACTATCTTTTAATTCTATTTTTCCACGAACTTTTTGAAGTACCCTCATATGTATGTATGGATGTATATTTCAGTATGTCTTCTTCAAAAACTTAAAATTCATAGTTTTTATTTTGAATATTGATAATTGGATATAGTATCTGAATTTGCTTGCTGATTATAATGTTTGGCTGTTAATTATTAAAGTTGCATATGTGCAGAATTTTAGGCAGCAACTTGTGAGAACTTCTGGAATTCAATTTCTCCTCTGTGATCTCTTTTTATTTGTAGTAGTATAATTAAAATGTTCATTTTGTCTTTTCTATTCTTTAAAATAAAACAAAACATGAAGCCAGTAGCTTTTGTTTTAAGTTGATTGGAAACCTGTGAAAATGCTTAAAAATACAAAAACAAATTTGAAATGTAAGGGTTCGTTTTGATGGCTGGCTGGTATGGGGGTAGAGTGGGTAGGGTGGTGTACAGGAATTTGAACCCTTGATTTGGTGTTATGACACCATGCTCTAAACTAACTGCATAAGGGTCTTGTTTTTCGTTTTTCATCTATGTCAGCATTTTTGGAAGTAAAAAGAAAAAACAGACTACTTACTATACCTATTTGTACAGCAGGGATATGGTTGTTATTCATATGTTTCAGATTTTATGAAACAATCTCCCCCGCACCCTCCCCACGATCACTGATTTTTAACCCTTAGCACATTCTTGAGAATGGAGAGACATATTAAAGTAACGACCCTATACCAAATAGTTACTGAGTGTGCAGGGATGCCACGAAGGTTAAATTGCACATGAAAATGGACACGTTATTTAAATGTGCTGCTGGCCAAATGTGGGTGGGTGAACTCAGGTATGTGGTGGCCAAGTTGTTCCAAATTGGCCCTCGATTCCTGTGTACCCTCAACATGCAGTTCCTATGTCATGTCAGTGTGTGAGATTAAACTAAGCACACTCATGACAAGTCACCTTTTTAGGCAAATGGATTATTTTCAAAGTCAAGTTTTGTTGTTGTCAGGAAAATTTTAATATAGCTGAGTTCTTTTGGAGGTTATAAAAAGATCAATCTCTCTTATCCTCCTTTCTATTTAAAACTCCCTAAGTTAGAGGTTCAGCCCCATGCCCGAATTCATCCCTCTCTGTATTTGTTTCATCTTGATCTTGTTTGAAAGGAGCTTTATCCAGAACACAATTTCTTTACTCAGAGCAAAATTTCTTTCAGACATTAAGGCAGCCTGGATACAATTATATAATTAAAAATCTTTCATCTGGACTTTACTAAATCCATGACTGTTTTAGCCAGTAAAGGCAAATTATATTTTGGTCTCTGTTATGGATTTGTATACTTTAAACATTCCTGTTAGGACTATATTTGTCCTTGAAATGTGAGGTAGATAATATTTTCAAGGGTTTGGCCGTATGACTGGACTTATTAATACTTATGACTGATGAGGAAACTTCTGGTGTTACTTGTTCCTGGGTTAGCCTTCATTCTGCTGGGTGGATTCATGTGTGAAATTAAAGTGAGAGTAAAAAGAGGATTTTCCCACCAAATGCAAAATATGAAGAAAGTAAAAATTACTCTGTTCTAGTTCTACCATCTATAATTAGCAGATTTTCTAATGTTGGCATTTTTTTTCCTTCTAGTCTTTTTTCTAGATATAGATACTTTTAAACAAAATTGGGACAATATCAAACATTTTGCTTTATAGTCTGCTTTTCTAATGAATGCTGCTTAAGAACATTTTCCCATTTTATTAAATATTCTATGGATTTTAAAAACTGCTTACTTTTTGTTAGATATTTATATTTTTTAAATTGTTTAAAATGATATTACTTATAATAGAAAACTTCTTTGTGGACATCTTTAGGGGTATCTTGAACTTTTTAAAAGAAAATTCAGAGTCTTTTTTCAGTTTATTGGTTTTAAGGAATGAAAAGTAATTCCATTCAGTTTGTCCTTTCCAGCAATTACAGTTGAGCTCTCTTGTCTGCAAGAATCTATTTTTATAACACCATCATCTTGTTCTTTCAAATGGTGCAGTAACATCTAATTTATTTGATACTGTAAGGGAACTTCTCATAAATAAATTTTTCACATAATTGAAACTGACCCTTAAGTGTCAATACTTTGTAATTGTAAACATCGTGGATGAAAGTCTTTCTAAAATTGTATTACATTGTGTTGCTGTTTTCTTAAACATAATACCAAAATATGAAAATCACAATTTAACCCCTTATGGATAAATCACAAGCATCCTTATAAACACTAGTTATTATAAGTCAGTTCTGCTAAAATATGATATATGTGTTCCTAAAAATCACCATTCTGTACAAAATCATGCAGTAAAACCTACAGCACTAATGGGGAAAAAGGGGATGGGTATATAGCACTCAAAAAACTATCAGTAACAGATTAAAAAATAAAAGATGGGAACTGAATAAAAGTTGTAGCACAGTTTTAATAGTTATTAAGCGGTTAAGAAATATATAAATGATATACAGTAAATATGGCACTTTACCTTGAAAAAGTCTTGATGTTTGCTGTGGACTGCTGTCTTAGAAGGGTTGCAGATGTGAGTTATTGTGAAGTGGTGGAAGATGTACCTGAAAGGGAACAGACATTTGGGGTACTGGATGTGGACAGGTGTGGCTCATAGCACATTGTAGAAACTGAGGTTGCTGGTAGACATTTGATACACGGGTTTTGTGCATTCTGTGTGTCCTTATGTGGCTGGGTTCAGCCTGGCTGTAGTCTTCTGTGATTAGTTTCTTGCAATGAAACCATACATAAACAAACACAAAATTTGAGTTATGCTGAAATTGTTCTCTAGTAACAAACACAAGTATTATAGCAGAACTGAGTGTACTGTGTGGTAATACAGTGATGTCCAGGGGATCACTGAAATGTGAAATTCTGCTTGTCCCTAAGTAGAGTTAATACTTGTAAAACAGAGAAGAGTCTGTCTTAAGATTCGACAGTATATAAATGTTGGCAATAGCAATAACGATTAATGATGCTTATTGGTGTTTGTGGGGTTCTGTTTGCTTCTTAGTTAGGACTGGTTGCTTTAGCAGTACTTCCTGCCTCTTCCTAATTGACTTATTTCTCAATTTCTTGTGCTTGTAAACAAGTTTATGACACTTCTTAGAATTACATTTAACGTAAGGCCTAGAATGGGAGAGCCTGAAGGGTGTACAAACTTTAGGTTACAGGTTACCTGTGCCATCTGCTTTACCTACTTAAAGTATTTTATCTTATTAATAAATTATTACCTATGTATCTATTTGCAGGATTGTTGGCAAAGTAACTTTATATTTTAAGTGAGATTATTAATCATGCAGAATTTTCAGGTTTTCTGTTTTATTAGGAAAAAATTAATGCCACTATCTCTTTCCATTCCTACCTGCAAAAGTGAAGTGTGCTTAAATTGATCCATCTGAAGAGTGTTTAAAAGTTGTTGATAATTTTCTTTGCTGTTGTTCATTTTTATTTACAAGCACTTCTTTGTTTATGAGATGTATGGCAAATGTGGTTTCAGAAGACCTTCCCTCCCAAGTCACAGTATAATTAGAAGTCCATGCCGGCCCGGTGGCTCACTGCTACAGTGCGCCGCTTGGGAGCGCGGCGACGCTCCCGCTGAGGGTTCGGATCCTACATACAGACCGGCCTCTCACTGGCTGAGTGAGGAGCGGGTGCAACACCGAGGGTTGCGATCCTGTTGCCGGTCCCGGTCCGGTCCGGGCGCGACACTGAGGGTTGCAATCCGTTGCCGGTCACAAAAAAAGACAAAAAAAAGGAAAAAAAAAAAAGAAGTCCATATCCTCCCTCAGTTCCTTTTTATGACTCCCAGAGAAAGACATTTTTGCCATGAGTGGTTGCCAAGAAGCCTTGCTAGTTACTGCTTTAGGAACTTTAATAAGATGATAGATCAAAATGCCATCTAGATTTAGAAATCCTTGTTGGTATACTATGAAAGAAAAATAGCTTACATATCTCATCATTTAGGTATTTCAGTGAAATCTTTATTTTAATTATGCAGAGATACTCTGAATAGCAGTGGGGTATTTTGATTTTTAATTTCTTATCTGACTTTGAATCTAAAATTTTTGTCTCTAAACAATTTCTAGATATATTTGGACTGCCTGACCTTCTTTGGGTGATTGCTGTTAATTAACAGATTTTGTGGGAGAAAGGGAGCTTGCCTTCTGAGCTTTATACCAAAGATCTGGGAAAAGTAAGTAATTTTTAACTTTTTAAAAATTCTTATTCTGTTATACTTCTTTCAGAAAGTCAACAATGGGTTTGTGGCTTTTCTATTTCCTTTTATTCTTGGCTTAGTAAATTTTATATGCTTTTATGGGTTTGTAACATGAAAGGGGACTCAGAAAATCTCTTTTTAATAAAAACTTCCAGGAGATTAGGATGACTTTCCGTGTTGTGCCGTTTCTTTTGGGCTTCATAAACTAAGTCCTCAAGATTGTGATAAAACTTTGGTCAGGTTTACAGTTGAATTAAACTTTAAAGATAAGGCAGAGCAATATAGTGTGACAAAAGTGAGTCCAGCTGTCTGAGCTTCAGGTATTCTAGACATTTTGGATAGGCTCTTTGGTTCTGAATTTTTAGAGTAAGAATGAAATCTAATTGACTCTTGTCTGTAGAAAGGAAAGAAAGATGTGGAATCGCTTGTCCAATAAATCCCTCCTGTAGCTTGGTCTTGGAAGAATTGGTGTACCTTTCAATTTTATTGTTTTATTACTTTTTTGAGATACTCTGAGACATTCTAATTGAGACAACTGTATGAATATTTTTGCTGACTATTAGAAAAAATTGCTTGGGGCCTGAAAGTTCAGTTTTATTCCCTGATATTTTTTGAAAAGGTAAAATGGTCCTTAAAGATAATAAAGTCAATCTATTTTTTTGTAGCTACTAATTGGAAGTATGAATGACCAAATGCCCATAAGAATGTATACAAAATATGTACACACATGTGCACATACACTCTAATACACATCTTTTTGTGTTCCAGAAACAATATCATTGACAAAAGAAACTGTTTTCCCATTAAATTACTAGGTAGTTTTCTAAACTTTGTATGCCCATGACTTATAGCTCCTCTCCATTTCTGACAGTACACATGAGCTAGTTGAAATGTGTTTAAAACAAAACAAGACAGAAAAGAACGTTGCTCTGGAGGTTCTACAGAAGCATTAAATAGTAAGATCAGATTTTATAGATTTTATTGTTATATCGTGTTTACTATAAATTTAATTATAATTAAATTGTGTATTATTTTGTAATAATTATAATCAAAGTAAGGGTCTTCAATTATGAAGCTTACTTGAAGTATTTGTACTGAAAAAATATATAACGTGTGTGTATATATACACTGTACATATAAACGGATGTAATTTCTGAGGGCTGTCAAGTTTATGCTAAAACGTAAATTCATTGAAAGAAGGAGTTTGAAAATTTTCATCAAAACCAGTTATTTCTGGTACAGTGAAACATTTGCAGTAGTAAAATATTATTGTCAGTGGAATTTAAAAGAAATTAAGGAATTTATTTAGTTGGACTTCATTGTCTTGTAATCACATATTAGTCTCAAAATAAAGGAAATCCTTTGTGTTGTAGTCGTTATTCCATCTTGGAGGGATATTTGAAAGAATATTATGTTGAAAGCCACCAGTCTGTCCACGGAATGGAATAAAAAGGGCAAAAGAGGGCCGGCCCGGTGGCGCACTCGGTAGAGTGCGGCGCTTGGGAGCGCGGCGGCTCCCCGCCGAGGGTTCGGATCCCATGTAGAGACCGGTCCGCTCACTGGTTGAGCGCAGTGCGGGCACGACACCGAGGGTTGCGATCCTGTTGCCGGTCGCAGTGCGGGTGCGACACTGAGGGTTGCAATCCCATTACTGGTCACGAAAAAAGACAAAAAGGAAAAAAAAAAGGGCAAAAGATTAATTCTCTGAACTCAGGATCCAGATATTTGCAGTTGTTTAGATTGGAAATATAACTTAGCCTCAGAAAGCAAACTACTTAAATTGGCTTTCCAATAATTTAGCATTTCTTTAAAATTTAGTAATACAGTCTCTAGTGAAATATTTTCCTGCCATTATACCAAAATATTCTCTTTTGCAATACATTGTGGCATTATTGTAAAAGTTATCTTTACATTTTATAGAGACAAGGCATCTGTGGACTTTTGCTTACAATAACAAGCTAAAGACAGCCCCTTTGTTATCAGAGGGACTGTGGCAAAAAGATCCGTGCTTACCAAAATCGATGTTACAAGTGAATATTTATATGCACAGAAAGATATTCACAATTCACCTTGCAGAAGTATAATGCACGTAAATCTAGTTCTCAAGAACTTGTTATGTGGAAGTTAACATGAAGGGGTGGAAGGGGAAGAGAAGTCCTTTTGAAATTTATTAAAGTCATGAGAGAATGTTTCTAATAGTACTTTGAAAACTGTAAGGGATACTTAAATGTACTGGTGATGGCTTCTTTTTGGGAAAGGAAGCACACAATTTTAGAGAAAATTCAGAACCCTGTGCAACCTCCACACTTATTTTTAACCTCCTTTTATCCTGTACTTTTATTTTTTTTCTTAATTACATATGTGTTTTCAAAGTTTTCCTTGTTTCAAGAATTTTATTTCATTATTTCCGGAAGATCTCTAGAAACTTGAGTCTGTAATAGTGACAAAATATAGATATACTCTAAAAAAAATTAGCCGTATATTGTTTTAAAAGAAGTAGAGAAAAAAACTTTTATTATTCTATTTAATACATATATGTTTATTTTTATGTTAACACTAAAAGAGTAGTGTATACTACAATTGTTTGTTAACCCATCTTTTCTACTTAACAATAAATAATGAATATTCATGATAATAAATATTTATCTATGACATAGTGAAAGAAAAACAATTGGATGTTGGCCTTTAATTTTAGACTATTTTGGCTTTCAGTTAGAAAAGAGTATAAATATGTGAAATACGTGGTGTAGCTTTTTCATCTGAGTACAGAGAATAGAATAGGATTCACTTTCTATAATCTCTACAGTGTTTACTGTAACCAGACATACTCTGAATAGAAGACTGTGGGACTGAATATGTGTTCAAAATTCTAATGTCCCTGGCTGACAGGTACTGTGTATAAAGCTTTGTGTCTTCGTTGGTCCCTTTTGTTATATTACAATAGTGCAGATGACATATTCCTACCACCTAGCTACCTTAATATTTCTGTGCCTAAGGGAGAATTCTACCTACACATTTCTCTCTCCAAAGAAACTCTAAATACCTCGAAGTGATGGGTACAGAAGGAATATTTGATAGATTTTTAAATAGAATTTATATTTGTAGCAAATTGCAAAAATGTTTTATAGATCTTTGCATGCTTTCTTAATTTTTAGTTCATTTATGAAGCCAGCATTTGTTGAGTGCTGTGTGTGAGATACTGTGTTAGGAGCTCATTACTCAAAGATGAATATGTCCTTGCTTTCAGGAAACTTAATTCGAGTTTCAAATTCAGATACAAACGACTTTTATTCAGCATGTACCATGTGATAAGCAGTGGACTCGTTGTTCTTAGATGAGGTGTTTGGCCATTAAAATTCAGTAATATTTATTGACCCATACCCTCCAAAATAAGGAATAGAATTTTCTAATCTTTACTTTTTTTTCCCTCTCATTATATTTTCTTTAACTTTTGGTACCTGCTGCTACTTGTTAAGTTAAAATAGCAAATAGAAAAAAAAGCTAATAAAAACCTCCAAACATTTAATTGATAAAATGAGAGCAGTGATTTTGAAAGCATGAATGTGTATGTGTGGCACACGTGCATTTTATTTTATATTTGAAAACCTGTATGCATATAATGTTGTCATAATTTCTTCTAGTAGAATAGTTCTTTGTTAACATGATACAGTTAAATACAAGTATATCAAGATTTCATCGTATTTTGCCCTTAGAGTGACTCCATTATTTGAGCAAGTTTGAAAGCTGTAGCATTAAGTCATTTGATCTCCACAATAATTCTGGGGATAGGCAGAGGACTTTCTCCTGAGTGTCAATAATGCCTCAGGAGAAACTCAGGGGAAAGTAACTTTCTCAAACTCACACAGCTAGAATATGTTTGAGTCAGGATTCCAGTTCTGGTCCATTGAACTTCAAAGCTATGCAGTATCCTCCTAACTCCCATGAACTGGTGGGGAAGGCAAACTCACAAATGCTGGGGGTCTGCCAGGGAAGGGGCAGTCATTTCAGCTGAGAAATTGGGAAATGTGTGCACTGCATTGAAGACCAGGCATTGAAATAAGTATTTGGGGCTGAGTTAGAAGACTGAGAGAAAGGGGGAGAATAGCAAGGGCTGTAGAAAAAGCACATGCCTGGCATGAAGGGATGGGAACTCATGGCACATCCAGAGAGCAGCAAGAACTCCACTGTGGCTGGGCTCTGCAGCATGTTGGAGAGCAGAGCAGGCTCTGAGATGGACAAGGCTGCTTGATGCCAGAGTTAGGAGGGCTACACGTGTGCCATGCTGGAGACTTGGGGTTTCTGAACAATGAATAGCCATCCAGAATTTTAAAGTAGGAGAAATAACAATTAGATGGGAGTTTTACAGAGATCACGTGGGCAGTAGTGTGGAATGTAATCTGGAAAAGAGAAAACTGGAGGCTGGAGACCCAGGGCCACCACGTGAGGTTGTGTAGGTTGTTCACTGTACAAGTGTATGTGTGAGCAGTGGCTTAGGGACTGGAAACCATTCAGCATGTTACTCAGCAAGCTGTACACTCTTGGAGCTGGGCCTGCCCAAAGAGAGCACCTTTTGAAATTTGTACAAGATGCTCTACTTGCCTTTTAATTGTTTATAAATAATAGGAGGAATTAGACAACTAAAGAAATAATAATGTATGTTAGGGCCCGAGAATCTGGAGGTGAATGTGGTAGGCTGTTTACTGTGTGTCGTTGGGCATGTTCCCCATCCTCTGAAAGCCTGTTTTCTCATCTTTAAAGGAGAGTTAATAATAGGTTCTAGAGGGGCTCTGGACAGATCAGTTAAGGGGCATTGGCAAGAGAAGGAGCAAGACATGAGAGATAGAGAAATGATAGGTCTAGGACTGGAAGCCACCACTAGCAGTCATTTAACTCTGAGAGTGTGCAGGGAATGTACTAAAAGCTGTACATGTTTTATCTTATTTAATCCTGTATTGGCTCTGAGTGGCAGATGTTAT